TGAATATTTTTTAAATTATACAAAATACCGTATTATTATTTATTTAGACTTCAATTCCATAACAGAGAATATGGTGAGAGATTCTTACTCAATTTGATGCTTAAAAAGCTAAGCTATTAACTGCGCCTACTAGCGATCCCTTGGTTCTCTGAATTTTTCTTCAGAAATTAAAATGTGCTATAAGTACCTATAACTGTAACAAAAAATCCAAAATCAGTCTCAGGACCCATTTTTGGCCAATTTTGAAATTTCGGCAAGACGACTCTGCCGTGCTCCAGCGATGGCGCCACCACCCGCGAAGGTAGTCCGCCTGAGGTCGGTTGTTTTCAGCCATTTTCTGCTGATTTTGCATCAATCCCTGTAAGAAAATACGTTAAGGGGTCTCGATTGATCGAAAAAATAGAAAAAATCGAAACTCACCGGTGGCATGACTTTTTGGTGCGGCGGCTCCTCCGGCGCACGTTGTGGTTGGTTTTTTACTCCGGTCAACCTGTAGAGAAGAAAACGGTGATTACAATAGTGAAAAAATTACGTAGAACAAAAATCAGAAAGGGTCTCATCGGATGCAATTTTTAAAATTTCCCGCGTTGGTGCCACTAGGCTTTACCCGCAGTTTTCAGCCAATCGACTGATTTTTTTGCTCCGATTTGGCCATTGGGTGTTTAAAATTGAATTTCAGGGAAATAAAAGTTTTTTACCTCTTTTGGCGGTCGGAAGTAGCTCCGACGCGGCGGCAAGTAGCAGCAGCTCTCTTTCCTGACGATTGGATCTTTTTCTTCGGTGAGGGGTGTTTGGCGGCTAGGGTTAGGGTTTGGTATGAAGAGAGTTATTTATATTCATCCCCATTTAATCTGGATCGTCCATTGCATTTGATCTAAACCGTCCGATCGCGATTAAATAGAAAGTGAATTTAGATCGTTCATCGCGATTTAATCTGGATTGTCCGATCGCATTTTGATCTAGACCATTGATTGCGTTTAAATATGACCATCCAATCGTATTTGGGGATGGAACGCATCCAGGCCGTCCGTGCGCGCGAAAACGGATCTGAACCGTTCAATCGCGGGCACACGAATCGCCTGCGTAGCATTGCGTCAGCGTCTATTACCACGCGACAGGTTCTGGTTCGTCGGGGCTGCTGACCGGGCATCCTACGTGGCACAAGTTTTTTCAATTGCATTTTGACCTTTCGTTTTCTGATTTTTCTTTCAAAAATACCTTAAGAACCTAAACTTTCACTATTTTTTCCCAAAATCATTTTCAATTTTATCCTCCATCAAATTTTCTTCATTTTTACACTAAATTAAAATTAAAAAATTACAATTATAAATTAATTTAATTTACATTAAATTAAATTTGGGCACTACAACTCTCTTCCCCTTAAAAAAAATTTGATCCCTCAAATTTATCCCTCTCACTCACAATCAAACAACTGGAGATATTAGACTCTGAAATCCGATTCTAGCTCCCATGTGGCATCTTTCAGTATGTGATTCTGCTATATGACCTTAACAAAATGAATTTTTTGGTTGCGGAGTAATCCGCTCTTTCGGTTCACAATACTGACCGGTACTTCCTCGTATGACAGATCCTTCTATAGTGGAAGAGTCTCGTGAGTCAAGAAGTGAGAGGGATTCAGGTTGTATTTGCGTAACATAAACACATGAAACACATTATGGACCCTGAAAAGTTATAAAGGTAGTGTCAGTTTGTAGATGGCGGTATCAATTCTGTCTAAAATCTCGAATGACCCAATAAACCAGGAGTTTAGTTTTTCCATCTTGTCAAACCTATTGATTCTCTTAAATGAGTGACCTTAAAGAACACCCGATCGCATTTCTCAAATTTCAAACCCCTCCTTTGGGTGTCCGTATAACTCTTATGCCTGCTCTGAGCCATCTGAATGTTCTTCATAATCTTAACTATTTTGGCTGTAGTATCCTCTATAAGGTTTGGGCCAAACAGTTTTTTATCATCCACTTCTCCCCAACAGATCGACGATCTGCATGAGCGGTCATATAATGTCTCGTACAAAACCATACAAATACTTACTTAGTAGCTGTTGTTGTAGGCGAACTCTATCAGGGGTAGATGGTCATCCTAATCACCCCCAAAGTCAATAATACAAGCTTGGAGCATATCCTCAATGGTGCAGATCGTCCTTTCTAATTGTCCATCGGTCTTAGGGTGTAATGCAGTACTAAGGGACAGTTTCGTTCTCATGACTTGCTGAAAGGTAGACCAGAACCAAGAAGTGAACCTGTGGTTCCTGTCAGACACTACTGTCACTGGCACTCCATGTAATCTGACTATTACCTAGATGTACATTTTTGCCAACTTGTCTAAAGGGATTGATCATCTTGATAGCCAAGAAGTATGAATACTTGGTAAGGCAGTCAACAATTACTCATATAGCATCATGTTCTGAGCGTGCTTTACGCAATCCTGTTACAAATTCATGGTGATATGTTTCCATTTTTACTCCGGAATTGGTAATGGCTGAAGTAGTCAACCTGAACGTTGATGCTCTACCTTGACCTGCTAACATATCAAGCACTTAAAAACAAAGTTAGTTATATCTCTTTTCATCCAATTCCACCAAATCAGGGTCGCATACTTTGATACATCTTAGTGCTTCCGGGATGCATAAAAAATTTTAAGCTATGGGTCTCTGTTATGATGTCCATTTTCAACTCATTGTCACCTAGAACACACACTCTATCCTGAAATCTGAGCAACTCATCGGCAGAGACTCGGAATTATGAGTTAACTCCATATTCTGTATCTTTCTTAAGGGCTGTTATGGTGGAATCGGCAGACTGAGTTTCCTTTATTATCTGGATTAACTCGGACTGAACAGTCAGGTAGGCCAAACATGTGACTCTCTTCAGGTCTTGAAGTCGTACCTGTTGTGCGGTTTCTATCTGCCTGCATCCTAAAACCATCAAATGAGCTAATGTACCTGCGCTTTTCCTGTTAAGTGCGTCAGCTACCATGTTGCAATTTTAGAATCTGAATGAGTTGTAAAATATGCATTAAAAATAAGAAGAGAAAATGTGTATGGTTATGATTTAAAAGAAAAGAATTGAAGATGAGATTTAATTTTATAATAAGTTAATATTTTAAACATTTAATTTCTTATCAAATTTATGGCGTAATAAATTTTCTATTATTGTTATAACTACCAAAATTTCTTTAGTGTTATCTAATAAAACCAAATTAAATAGTATCCAAAAGATAGAGTTTGTTTCACTTTATCTCATGACTCTTTTTTTCTTTAAATAAAATATTTCCATTAATGAAGCATTTCATACAAAACATATGCAAACTGATCCCATTGACAAAAGCTAGCATGATTATGAGAAGCTCTAGCTAGTAAATGAGCTTCCCTATTGGCTTGCCTTTGGATCCACACAACTTTTGTATTTGGTATAAATCGTAGTAAAGCCTTACAATATTCTAAAATAACACATAATTCCGATAAGTTAACATTTTCACTGTTCATAATATTTGCAATGACTTGAGCATTTGTGAAAATAATTCCTTGCTCATTATAATGATATGTCGCCCATGCAATGGCCTCTCTGACCGCATCTGCTCAACAATCCTTGGGTGCCCAAAAATAGCTGGACAAAATTTCCTTTGCCATCCTGAAAACCACTCTAAAGTTTTCTTATCTCATGACTTAAATATAATGATTTTTATTTCAAATTTTTTGATATGTTTAATTCAATAATATGAACAAATTTTTTGGTAGACAATACAAAAAGTAGATATTTTTAAAATTATTTTCTTAATCTTTTCACATAACTAATAAAAGAGATAATCGAGTATATAATCAAGTATGTTATTATGAAAGTTAAATTCTACTAACAGCTTTTAAAAAATAATTAATTCAATGTGATTTTAAATATTTTCAATTTTTTTTTTAGAAAACCACAATGAGGTTGAGTTCTATAATTTTTCATGAAAATTTTTTTATTTGATTTTGTTGTTTCTATTTTAATCAATAGAATCTTGATAATTACTTCACATTACTCGCTTATTATCGTAATAGCTATTATGTATAAGTTTGAGTGTTCTCAAAACTTACTTAAAAAAAAAAGAGATATTTCCATCAATCGGAAATGAATTATATAACGTTGTTTAAAACATTCTATTTTAGCATTAGGAAAGTTGATTGAATTAAATTTCATGTTTAATTCGAAATATAATTTTAATTGATAGGTTAAATTTCTTGATACAAATTTAATTTATTTTTGTTAAGGGATCTAGTGATAAATATAATCAAGTTACTATTTTAAATACTTCTTAAAATTTTTATATTACTCAATAATTTGAATAATAATTTTTTACCGTATATCTTTTTATTTGTTAATTTTATAACGATTTCAAAATTTCGGTTAATTCAATTTTGACCCATAATATATAATTTAAAAAATAAAAAAAAAGAAACATGTAAAATATTTTCTGAAAAATTCAACTTCAAATATTAATTGAAGGTTTTTAATGAATTTATATTTAGTGATGGTTTTTTTTTTGTATTTTATAATATTAATAATTTAATATACAAATTTGTTTAGTTAGATACACATATTTATGATAGATTTAATATTTCATTTAAATTTAGTAAAATTTGTTTAATAGTTGATTTACTTTCAATCAAATTAGATTTGTATTTTGTATAAATTTTAGAATATTAAAAATTCAGGCTAAATTTTAATTATATGATGTTTGATTAAACTAAAATTAAGTAATTAATTTTACAGTTTATATAAACTAAAATTTTATCACAACATATTGACTAGAATTTAAATAATTAAATATTTGATTATTTAAATTAAATAATTAAATATTTAAGTTAACAGTTAATTTTTTTGTTGGTGGAAAAATGAAGTCAGTCATTAAACTCGCTCCGGCAGACGCGTGTGCTTCATGGCAGCGCGTCAACTACACGTGCGAATTAGTCCCATTCTTCTTCAATCCTTTGCCTCTTCGTTCTCTCCTCCAAATTCGCATGGTACATGTCACTCACTTCTCTTTCCTTTTAGAGCCAACTGGCCACCTTTAATCATCTACAAAACCCTAATTTTTTTTTTTTTTTTTCATTTTTACTCTCACAACCGACTTCAAATCAAATTCGCCCCAATATTTTCCATGTTATTGCGTTTTGTCCGTCTGCCTGAGAAGCCTCTCAATATAAGAGAAGTTTCTCACCGACCAGTCTCTTGAAAAAATCCCCCCGTCTCACCTTTTCTTAGGGCAAAAATCCTGGTCTACGGATTAAAGCTGCTAATTGCGATTTGGGTTTCCGTGTTTCAGCGTTTACAGCACTCTCCTTCCCTCTCCGATAAAAAGGGTGAAAGGAGTTTGGAGTTTAAGTTTAGATAATTTAAGTCCCGCGAAACCCTCATCCCCTTGATTCTGGGCCCTCTTTGTTGATGAAGGAAGAGATCATTAGTTTTCGCAATTTTCTCCATGGACCCAAATCCCGTGATATTCGATATCAGCTCAGATGAAGAACCCGCGCGGGATGATCCCAAGGTAGATTACACCGACTGGTTATCAGAGATTCTTTACGAGGTCGAGAAGGAGCTGGAAGTCTCTGATGAGGTCGTGGTGGTAGGTGAGGTCAACCCCACCAAGCAGCAGAAGTTAAAGTCATCCAAACGAACGGTAGACAATGTTGCCGTCGTTTGTGATGATGGTGACGATGATTGTGTAGTTTTGGATGGCGACCCTGATAAGCAGGTAGCGGTCATCAATGACATCACAGACGACTCTAATGAGTTGCTTATCGTTGGGCAAAAGGGGCAGGTACAATCTGATAATCAGTTTCTTCTTATAATTCTGGGTACGTAGCTTTACTGTAATGTAGATATTGTTTATCTCTTTTCTTATTTTAATAGATCATATCTTAACTTGTTGGAGAGAGTAATAAGGGAACCGGAAGAGAATAATATGTTGACCACTATTATGGACCAATGTCTATCTTTACTGAATTTCTATAATGGTGCTAGCAATAAGTAGTACTACCCCTTGATATAAATGTCCAATGAAATAACAATGACATGATATCTCTTTTTCCTACTGTGTGTCTTGATTGGTAAAGTTTTTCATCTATAATGAACCATGGGTATATTTTTATCGAATCTTTAATAACTCCACATTGTTGATTCTTTCTCACCAGTCATATAATACCTGCTGAGCCTGTTAAAATCATTAACATCATTCGATCATGAGTGTGCAATGGTATCTATCTCAAGCACTTATCTTAAGGGAGTGAAAATCCTCTCCAAGATTTCTAGTTCCTTTCTTATTCAGATAGGGGCACAAACAGGAAATGCGAGATTGTTCCATTTATGAGCTCAAGGTTGCTTTATGTTGCAATTATTGTCTTCTAGGTATCAAACCGTAGTTATTTCTTAGTTCAACTTTAGTTAGTGGTATTACCTTAAATTGTATTTTGTTTCTCTTGGATCTTGTTCTTGTGTCTTTCCTAATTTTAAGTGATGGATACTGTTCAAGCCATCTTTTTTTCCTTCAATTTTGGGGACAGAAACTGAAATGATACGTGCCCACAAGTGCATCCATGATGGTTATGAATAAAAAAGGCAAATAGATATGGAACTGTTGTTGGGAGTTACTTGCATCATGAAAGCTTTTTTTACTTCTAAACCAAGTGGCACTGCACTTGTATCAAATTACTTGCATGAAAAGAAATATATCATGCCCACAAACTCTTCTTTGTTTATGCGGCCAAAATTCCTAAAATATAGGGTGTACTACCTACTATGAAGGGGGCTCTCAAACCCCTCAAAGGCTCTATTTTTCCTCTCAGGAATTTGGATGTTTGTTGTTGAAATGGGTCCAACTTATAAATACATACTTACTATTTATTTGTGCCTTGCATCACAATGTTGACACGAAAACATTCCCAAAAAAAAAAAACACAAAATAGACAGAGTTATTACCGTTCCTATTGCAAGTGGGATCAGATGCTAAAGATATGTTTTGGTGAAACAATTAGGGATATAAGGTCCGAAATGGTACAAGTTTGGCAACTGTAAGAAACTTACCTTGTGGTGTAGATTAATTAATTAATGTGTAACTTTTTGCAAGTTATTAGTGTTCTAACTAAGACATGTACGACAGTAACTTTCACTGAACAAAATTAACTATTAAAGGGGAAATGAAAAAAAAATTAAAATGTAGTTTGCTTTGCATTTTATCTCTTCCTTTAATAGACAAGAGTTATTACTGGTCCTATTGCAAGTCGGATCAGATGCTAAAGGTATGTTTTGGTCAAACAATTAGGGATATAAGGTCCGAAATCGTACAAGGTTGGAAACTGTAAGAAACTTACCTTATGGTGTAGATTAATTAATTAAAGTGTAACTTTTTGCAATTTATTAGTGTTCTAACTAAGACATGTATGACAATAACATTCGCTGAACAAAATTAACTCTAGTAGATAATCAAGTCATTGACAAGCCATAAAGGGGTGGGGAACAAATACATAAAGAGGAAATAAAAAAACAAAACAAATGTAGTTTGCTTTGCATTTTATCTTTTCCTTTAAAATGTAGTTTGATTTATGACAAGCCATAAAAGGGGTGGGGAACAAATACATAAAAGGGAAAATCTCTTCCTTTATTTTTTCATCAGTAATGGTATTGCCATGACCAATTTGTGGTCACTACCAAAAACGCTGTTTCTAAATTCTTTATACGCATAATCATCGAAAATATAAATCGTGAGAGTTGGATATTATTTTCTAATCTCTTGCAAGCCCTTAGTCCCTAAAATATCTCACTTCCTCATTTCTTTTTCTTTTTTCCAAAATAAAAGAAGATTAGAATTAAAATGTATCAAGGGGGTACCGTCCATTTACAAAAGAATTTTACATGTTAATTAGCATATCAACAACTGCTCCAATATCTTCTAAGAATAGTAAATTGTGACCTAAAAGTATGGAGTCAAAATAGTGTAAGCACTTCCTCATTCTAAGACAAATCACAAAGCTCTTAACTATTCATATAACTATCATTATTCATTCTTGACTCAAAAACAAGGGTATGAAGGACTTATTTCAAAAAGAAAACAAGGGTATGAAGGACAAGCTTAGATGATAGTAGTTGCATAATTAGTAGATAGTAAAAACAATTTTTTTTTTTTTCAAATAAAAGTGAAGAATTATTATGCACAAGATATCAAGGGGATACTGCCCATATACAAAATAGTTACAAATCTATCAATAGGTCGATGACTGTACCCATATCATCTAGATCTTTAATATCATGACCCAACAAGATATATCCAAAAGTGTGTATTTATCTATTCCTAATGTTACCAAAGTTAGTCTCAACCCCCTCAAAAGTTCTAGCATTTCTATCTTTTCAAATCACCCAAAAAATAGTAAGTGGTACAAGACAGAAATGCCTCCTCTTTTCTTTACACAAACCCTCCCAAGCCCAAAGTTCATTACCTAAACAACCCGCCATAACTCAATCCACCCCAATAAGCCTCAAAACAGAAGACCATATGCTGTAAGTAACAGGGCAGCCCAGTAACAAGTGGTAACAGGTCTCCTCATCGGATTTGCATAAGTAGCACCGGTTAATCTAGCATATTCCCTCTTCTTCTAAGCATGTCAATTGTTAAAATCCTCTCTTTAGCTGCTTCCCAAGCAAAAAATCCGATTCTGGGTGGTGCTTTAGATTTCCATATTCATATGAAGGGATGTTGTTGTTCTCTCTCGTAGTAATAAATTCATAATATGATTTAAAAGAGAAGTCCCTCTTTTTGTCTAACTTCCATATTCTTTTATCTTTGTTTCTTTGGCAATTTTAATATTAAATAAACACAGCAGCATCTCCACATTCTCCTCCACTTTCCCAATCCTGCAAATTACGCTTTACCGGTACACTCTATACCCTTCCCCCCACCTACCTCATAAAGTTCCTTCACCCTCATCTCCTTATCATGGGCACAGAGAAAATTCTAGAAAATTATCTTTTAGTTTAAACTCCTCCAGCCCATTCCTTCAAACAGAATTGATAAGCTCACCATTTTCAAACCTGGCAGCCAA